TTTTTTCCCCAGCTGCTCTGTTAATAGCAGGACCCTTGCGATGAGTGGAAGGGAACATGACACGGCACAGTTCTGGTGGAGAGATCACTTTTGGGGTATGGGGGGAGGGCGAGGTGTAATTGGGTTTTTTTTTTTTTTTTTTGGACCCTCTGTCCCCAAGAAAGTGATATTCCTAGCCCCCCCCCCCCCGATACTGACTAGCACCCAGAGCCCCACAATCACACTCCATCACGTATGGAGTGATTTGGATCTTATGTAAGGACACTTTCCTCCTTTCATTAAAGCAGCCAATTTTTTCCCCAGGCTCCACACAAGCCTGGAAAAGCTGCTGCTCTTTAATGAACCAAATCACTAAAGCAATATGTCTTTATTATACCTCTTAAAGCAGCTGCATCTTTTTTCAGGCTGTCTTATCGAACAAAAGAGAGGTGCTGTGCTCATGTGAGATCTGAAGTAATTCATCTGAATAATTTGAAATGGGCACAGCCCTGTAAGGGAGCTTTTTATCAGCAAATGGCAGGGAAAGGGCTTGCTGGTGGAATATTGGTCCTATAGAAATTATCTCGTAGTTTCCATAATTAACAGAATGAATTATGCCCACTGCAAAGGGGTTCCCAGATTTTCCAGTACATATCAGGACATCATCCTGCAAAGGAGACAGTGTAGCACTTGCATCATGATATCTAACACAAATATTTGAATTGCATCATTTGTACCAAGATGGGATGATGAATGTGTTGTCATCTATCCACTCCCTCTGCCTCCCACAGACACTGTGGGTCAGAACTTCTGTAATTCAACAACATTAGCTCCGTTTGAGAGCTGAGCTGATTTATTTTGGGTTTGGCTCTGGTAGATTTGTAACCACAATAAAATAAGCTAGTGTTTTCTTTGAAATGCGCCATCCCTTGGGGCTTGAAGGCTGACCACTTCCCCATTCGCAAAAACTCTTATTTTGCCACATTTCATCTCTTGGCACCTGGGCTGCATGTCTTCCGTGGGGAAAGGTATCTTGACAGCCTTTCGGCAACTACTCATAGGAACCTCTGAAATTTCTTTGCCCATGACCAGATGAATATACCGAGACTGACATACAGACATTTATAGGGGAGTGCAAGCAACTGATTTTATTACCCTTTTGCATGGAGTTGGAACAGGGGGAAGGCAACAGGATTTTAGTTCCCATGGGATCTGCGGAATCTTGGTGTGAGGCAGCGTTTTTTTGGACCTTGACCTTAGTATTGCAGTGTTGGGAATGCAAGGCTGTTGCAGATGATCACATTCTTTGGGAGACGGGGAATGAAAGTGATGGTGGTGGCGTGGAAGTACCCAGAAAGGCAAGCAGCTGCAGATTAGGTTGGTGGATGCAACATTTTTGGATTCCTGCTATGGCACAGAGATCATCTACTGGAATTGTTGCTACTTGGTTTGGGGAAATGAACTGAAGCTCAGACTGATATTCTTTATGCAGCATAAACATCAGCATAATATAAAGATATTTTGATGCTTTCTCAAGGTAGATTAGAATTACTCAGCTCATTTATTTTGCCAGGTTTTTTTTTAGGCCAGGCTGTATCTAGAAGTTGAGCAAACTGGAACTCAGAGGCCACCCAAAGTCGTCCGGCCCCCTTTATTTTGTCTCCCTTGAAATATTTGCCCCAAGACCATCTTTTAAATGCCTAACTTAAGCAGAATGCATTTAGTTTATAAATTGACTTTTTTTCTCTAGGTTTAGTTACTGAGCATCATGTACAAAATAATAAGAGAGATTATTATTTTTGTTTCTTGCCATATTTTTTTTATTAATTTTTGGAGAAGTTGAAAGGAGATGAAAGAATTCTACCCTTTGGTTATCTGAATCTATTTCTTTCTATGTCCCATTCCCCTTAATTTACAGTATCTAAACAGCATTATTTAAAACAATTTCAAAAGTTTAGCTATTTGTCTCTTCTGAAACTATCTTCTTTTACAAAAGAAAAAAACCGAAGTGGCAATTTCCTTGCATGAGAATTCTCCCAGTATTGGATATTTTACTCTTGACTTCCATAAAGTGCTGCTCCAGATGCTGCTACATTCATTTCTGTAACCAGTTGGCAAACGGAGTGTATAAAGGTCTGCACTGCATCATTGGCTGCTCTGTTTGAAAAGCTGTTATCAGACAAACGAAGATAAAATAAAATGCAATTGAAATTGGTTGACATTCTATATTAGCCTCTGCCTCCCCATCAATACTAAATCTAGATGCTCCTAAACTAGATGGCCTCACCCCCATCTGCCTGTTGGTTTACTGAACCTTTTCTCAGAGGCTTAGCCCATGCAAGCCCAGCATGGATAGCTATATGCCTGGGTTCCCACAGTGCAGTGGATCTTGGGAAACCGATCTGATTACTCAGCTGCTGCTCCAGAAGGAATACTGTAGAGACAAATCTGTAGTGTTTCTGCGTGCTGTGGGGCAGGTGCCCACATGGTAGAAATTCCCACCTCCTCCTGCTTCTCAGCCCCTGAGATTTCCCCCTCTTGTGCAAAGGACTCATGGCATCTTGACATCACTCTTGTATGCTCCCCAGTTGCTACAAGAGGCAGCTTTGCCAATCCCCTGTATCGTGGCTAATTGAAGATTGTTGTTTTCTCAGGGCCAAAAGGAAATTCTATGAGAGCGTGGGGCAGGATGGGGCAGGGCTTTGGGTGTGGGAAGGGAGTGCTGACTGACTCATTGGAAGATGGAACATAATAGAGAGGACAATTGCATGCTGATGAAAACTAAAGGTCAGTGGCTGAATGGAAGTGCTGTTGGTTGTATTCCCAATGTCGCTGCCTCTGCCAGCCTTTCTAAATAATCTCTGGCTTCCCCTTCACATCCAGAAGCAGGAGATCAGATATCCTCCTCCTCATCCTTTTTTAAAATATTTTTTCCTCCTCTGTAACATCTGACCCTCCATTCCTCCTGAACCCCTAGTTCCTGACTTGAATCCCTGCATCAGACTTACACTTCTTTGCCACTACAAACAGAAATTTGGAGAAATGGCAAGATGGGACAGGACAATAATGGGTACTTTGCACAGGTGGGTAGCCAAGTAATGCCCCATGCTGCTTAATACTTAATACAACTAGTAGCTGAAGGTGCAGGTTATTAATGCACTTACTTGGTCATCTTTCTTGCAATGTTCAGAGGGGATTTTTTCATTACACTGCAATGAACTGAGAAGTTCAAGAAGTCCCAGGGCTGAACAGTGGAGGGACAGGGAGAGAGGCAACTTAGTTCTTTCCATGCTAGCTATTGTTCCTATTCCAGAGCCCAGCACTTTCCTCCTTTGGGATTCTGCATGAGACTTTACTAGTGCATTCTGTCCTGAGACAATACAGTATGCACTGGCTTTGATGCTAATAAAGTTGTTGAATCAATAGAGTTGACTCAGCTTTTGCATCTTCCCCTTTGGCAGGGAAAAGAGAGACATTGTTTATTGACCCCAATATTCCTGGTTAGAGATGTTACTAAGAAGGCCTGGAATTAGGCAGGGTAGAACAGCATGGAGAGATGATATGCTTGGGGGTGGGGTGGAGGACACTAGGGGATGGAGGATCACCTTTTTAATTCCATGATTCTGTTGTGTGGGACAAAAGTAATATGTAAGTATACTGTGGCAAGTGAAAGTTCGAAGCTGGTTGCATAGAATGCAAAACATACTTAAGCTAACTCAGAAACTACATCAGCCAAAAAACAAATACTGGTAGTCCTCATTGAGCAACCACAATTAGGACTGGCAACTCAGTCATTAAGTGAAGCTGTTGCTAAGTGAAATTGTGACTATGCTTACGATCTTACTTCAGCTTTCTTTTGCTTTACAGTCCTGCAAAAGTCATAAATGCAAGGATTGGTCACAAAGTTACTTTTTCATGACTGTCATAACTGTGAACAGTTGCGGTACAAGACAGTTGCTAAATGAGGACTACCTGTATAGTTCAGTTGCAGCTGCTTCCATGGATGTTTCATAAGAATGGGGCAATTAGATATGAGTTTAGTAGCTGGTTTCTAGATAAAAAGTCATGCACTTTATACTTAGATCTGACCTTCCTAACATTACAAAAGCATTCAGTGTCACAATTCTGGTTATTTCCTTCTTACTACTCAACATTTTCATCTGGAAGATTGGCAAAGACCTTCTGCTGCTCTTACCTTGCATCAAGATTCTGTACATATTGCAAACAAGGCTTCGGCTTAAGGAGTTTGTCTTCTGAACTCTGTGAATCTCTGGTATCTTTATCAAAGAAGTCAGAGTCATCCTTTGCTCCAGTTGTATTTGG